TTTATAACAACATATGAATTACAATATTCTCTCGTTTCCTGATCGTCTTTCCTCCCCAACTCGAACTGGTGTGTTTGTGGCTGCCTACGTTGTGGCCCGCCCTCTTACTGAATTCTTTTCCACTGTGCTTGCATCCATGTGCCGTCTATGGGTATGTGTGAGAGTGACAGCCTTACCCTCTATGCTCATGTGTGTTTTAGTTGGCCGGTGGGTGATCTGAGTATGCGAGATTGAGAACGCAACAGTTCGTGCACCGTGCGTGCGTCTCCCTCCGTCTGTTGTTCTTTGTGTGCGCCGCGTTTCCGCTTTCTTACACTCACACACACACACACTCTCTCACTGTCTCTGACTATCACACACACACACACACACACACACACACACACACACACACACACACACACACACACACACACACACACGTACGCGATGGCCTTCATGCGGTCAACAATGTTGCGGAGCAGCTTGATGTCGGGCATGTAGATGTTCACCTGTCACACAACAGCACACGGCTTGGGACTGAGTGAAAAAGCACGGCAAGTGCACCGAAGCGAACAGCAACCTTGTTGTCATCCACACACAACGCACACACACACACACACACAATATTCACGCACGTCTGGAATGGGGAGGTCGGGCGGCATGATTGCGTCAATGTCGTCGGCAGGGCGCACGAGCACCGGCACATCCTGCACAATCTGCCGCGTCATCCCCGTCGATGACATCTGATGTGATGTGTGTATATGCGATGTGTGATGTGATGTGTGTGTGTGTGTGTGTATATGCGATGTGTGATGTGATGTGTGTGTGTGTGTGTGTGTGTGTGTGTGTGCGCGCGATGGGTGGGGTTGTTGAGGATCAGATGTGGCCAACGCATGAAAACGTATGCACGCACACATAAAAGCCTCACAACCACAATCACACACACAACACAATCACACACACGCACACACAACCACAGTCACACACGCACCGTGCCGATTTTGAAGGTGAGGTAGGGCGTGTTCTGCTTCTTGGCCAGCTTGATCACCAAATCATGACAGTTTGACGCAGACCTGCAAGAGCGCGCACGCACGTTGGGTCAGTACTTCAGGCACACGATGCCATCAAACCAGCGGTGCATGAATGCACACACACACACACATAAGCAAGCGCATGCACAGCACACGTACCGCAGTGCGCGGGCAAAGTGGTCGAGGTTGAACTGGAGCAACACTTCGCTTCGTGGATGCAAGCTTTGCACGGCAAAGGACTCAAACAAGTTGGCCTAACCAGAGCACCGAGGGAAAGTGTGAGTGTGTGTGTGTGTGTGTGTGTGAAGTATGCGTGGCTACGATTGGCCACACGCACGAGGATCGTGTAAGACACACATGTACACACATCACTCACTAACTCACTGACTCACACACACACACACACATACACGCATACACAAATTCACTGCACCTGCAAGACTTCGATCCAGATGCGCTCGGAATCGCTCAAAGAGTCCTCGTCCACAGTAAAGTGAAGTCTGGATGGTGTGATACGCAGACACGTCTGCTTGAAGTTACATGCCTTCTGAAACACCGTTACAATGTCTTGAGACATGGCGGGACGTGAGTGCGTGATGTGAGTCCGGGAACACGAATGCAACACACACACATACTCACACACACACACACATGCATACTCACTGGTGAGGGTCGCCACGTTCTTGGCGTTTGTCATTCGCGCGCGAAACCTCATATCTGCCTTTGTCTGCGCGTGCGTGCGTGTGTGTGTGTGTGTGTGTGTGTGTGTGTGCGAGTGTGTGTGTGTGTGTGTGTGTGTGTGTGTGTGTGACGTGTTGTTGTCCTCCTTGTTGCACTCTTCCCTTCTGCTGCTGCTTCTGCTTGTTCGTCGTTTTCCCGCCAGCTGCTTCGCGTAAACACGTTCGGACGTGAATACACGCAATGCTGACTGCGCGTGTTTTATGTATGCCTTCATCCAATCCTCCACGGGTGACGTTCTTGGGTTCTTCGTCCGCCAGCCCGCACGCACGCAGCAGCCAGTCCTTCCTCTTGCTTGCTTGCTTGCCTTGCGTGCGCCTGTCACCTGCCCCACAACCGCACCTGCTGTTGTCGCATCATCAATTGCGTCGAACAATCCAACGCAAACACAACGAACACACCCGATACACATCATCGCAGGCACGAACCCAGATCAGCAGCAGCCTCTCGCACCGTTTTCTTCGTTCAGAGAACAGCCCCCCGCCATCCCAAAAAGCCCCACACAGCACACGCAGAACACGTGGCTGCAACGCGCCTCTGCGCGTGTTTCTTCCTTCCATTTTGAGACACGAATTCTTCGGAGGGTGGACTATTCGCCTCCTCCTCCACTTCACCACCACCCGCCGTTGCCCTGCTGCTGCACGCACGCACGCACGCACGCACGTCATCACATCGCCGCCACTGCAAGACGCAAGCAAGCACATCCAAGGGTCTTCCCACTCAAGAACATTGCGCTTTCATCACGCCAACAAACGCAAGCTGCACAAGGGCACTGCAGACACACGCACGCACATACGCACACGCTTTGGACACCGGGCATGCACTGAGGGTGGTGTTGCGGTCCCTCCATTCATCTTCGTACCACCAGCACCACCGCAACAACAACAACAACTACAACTACGACAACAACAACAACAACTACAACTACGACAACAACAACAACAACAACAACAACAACAACAACAACAACAACAACAACAACAACAACAACAACAACAACAACAACCCACACACACACACACACACACACACACACAC